GAATGCAAATGCTCCACACAGAAGACGATTAAGTGGCTATAATAGCAAATCAATAACGCAATAAAAATACTAATAGAGTAAAAATTACAGTAGAAATAATAACATTAATACCGCCAATGACTCATTAGTAAGAGTAAAATCGACATTTTCGTGCGTAAAATTAGGTTTTAGGTACAGTCTTTATGTTCAACCGTCACGGGAAGACGTGAAATTTGCTCGACAAGTTTTAACGTGGACCTTCAATATCAAATTTTCTCGAAATTCAATCAACAGTTACGGATATTGAACGTCTGGACAAACCCGACCTCTCATAATAATCAATTCACTAAAACATAACATAAAAATATATCTAAGCCTGTTTCATCTATTGAATTTTATTTAACCCATCTCATAAGATTTTTATACAGTCTAGGCCAGTGGTATTCAACCTTTTTCGTTCGCGTACCCCCAGATATAATTTCTCTTCAATTTTGTACCCCCCCAAAGTTGTTGGTGTATAATTCAAGTTATACATAGTATATAATCTACATTTAAAATAAATTAAACAAATTACATTACTGATTATTCAGTGTTTATCATAAAATAATATATTTTTTTAAATTTTCACGTACCCCTTAAGATGTCTTCGCGTACCCCAGGTTGAATACCACTGGTCTAGCCTATAAATTATATTTGTATGAAGTTGGCTTTTATTGAATTTTAAAATGAAAGGGATCTTAGAACTGGCACATATCAAATTGTAAAAACTTTGTAAATAAAGAAAAACCTATATCTTATTGCAAACATATTTTTTTTCAATTATTTCTTTTCATGTTTCTGAAATAGCGATTTAAACGAACTGACAATGAGACCTGACGTATTTTTCGTTTATTTGAATACAAAATTAATCGGCATTTTGAGGACAGGAGACGACAATCGGTCACTGAGTTGTCGATAAGTGGACATTACATTCTTACGATATTAAACGCAAGTAGACATGAAATAGATGGCACTGTAAACCAGTTTTATATCGCATTCTGGACTTTTCTTTTCTGCAAAGTTTACGGCTGCGTCGAGAAATTGCGACATGAGAGATGGTGAGAGCTGATCTTCATATGAATTGAACATCAGGGTCCGGCTCTGAGCCATATTCACGCCACTCCGTCTTCTCGCATGATGGACACGAAGTGAACACGTGGAGGGGACACGAAAGAACGTATAACGTATAAACTAAAATCACTGAGTTATCTACATAAATAATATTTCACTGAAGACGGCTGTCTTCTGAGTTATTGCCCCGCGTAGTCTGATAGAAGTTTACCATCGCCCTGATGATGGAGGCAGAAATCACCTCCGAAACGTCGACAAACATCTACCAGGATACACGGCGCTGACAACCAAGAAGACAAGCAATTTTCGTAATCACCGCCGTGAAAACCTCAAATCCAATATTTGTTTCCAATTTTCGAATTCTGAAATTTTTAAAAGGGCAGTCACAGAACTGCTTTAAATATCACTGAATATGGAAGCTGATGTGACGTCATCAGGAAGTGAGAGATGAACCAATCAGCTATCAGTCAGGCTTCCTCTCGCGTATCATAAAATCGCTTATGATTCATAATACTGTTTCCATCGAAATTCATGTTCTAATACGACGTGCGAACACATAGCACGTCGTAATCCTGGAGCTCGGCCCCCAGCGCGATAACCCGCCCGTCAGACACCCCCGAGGGTTTCCTTGGTTTCAACTTCAGAAACTTGTTTCAAATCCTCTCGTTTCAAATTCACGCCTTCCATGGAGCTCACTTCAGTGATTCAGCAGAATTTTCGTTTAGAAAACTCTCGCTGCGCGTTTATCTCCTTCTACCCACTATCGAGAAAATCGAATGACAGACACGATTTCTCGTTCAGAGTGGGATCGACTTCGCTGCAGAAGCAACAGCGTGGTGGCAGTCATCAGTAAATTCGATAACACGAGTCTTAAAACATCATTAATTATTATAAATAACTGATGAAGGTTGAAACAGGATTGAAAATACCCAACTCGGAAAAAGTAAAAGGAGACAGGATGAAATTACATAATATGTTCTCTTCAAAAACATTATTAGGCTTAAAGAACATGTGGAGGACTTGAAAAATGCATATAAAAATATAGTCGAAAGCTTGGAAACACGAGACAGCTTGCAAGACAAAGCGAAGGTAATAAGTAGAATGGATGGCTTGAGAACAATGTTGTCTACGCCTACGCCTCATAACAATTCTATTCTCTTTTTTTTTGACATATTAAATCCATATTTCCGACTTAGCTCTGTTTATTTTAAGCGTGTAATATTCTAGAAGCAGCGCTTTACGATCAGAGCCAGGCCCTCAACGAGATATTTCCATTTTACTAATTAGCCTTCTAATTAATTGCAACGTGAAATGGGCTAATACCGGCTCAAATTCTGATGCGTCCCAACTGGCACACAAACAGAAGACGAAATTATAAAACAAAGGTTTAACTTACTTCTAAGAGTAGGGATACTCAGTTTCAAATTGTAATAGACTGTCTATTTCAGACAGTAAAAAGGTAAAGCAGTCCCGCCACACGCCATCCAGGTCGCTTGGGGGAGGGGGCACATAATATTAATTTCAGACCCTTACAATGACAAGATGCCACGGTGGTCTAGCGGTTAGAACGCTGGCCTTGTAATCCTGGGGTCTCGGGTTCGATTCCCGGCGGTGCCCGAATTTATAACTTGTGTTGGGCAAGGCCGTGGTCTAGGCAACACGGAGTTTTCCTCCGTGGCATCCCAACAAATACTCCATTCACACACAGAAGAAGGCAATGGCAAACCACTTCTGGATCATCTGCCAAGAACGTATATGAACAGGTCCCAGTCCGAGAAAAGGATGGAAGGATCCTGTTCATATGGACCTGTCGTCAGACAGAACACTAAATAAATAAATAGATGACTCTCTTTTCAGTGTGTGTTGGATCATTGCCCTGTGTTTTATTGCTAGATTATAAAGTGAAGTCACGTTATTTAACTATGGGCTAACACGGAACAGGAAAGAAAGTTCAGCCAGGAACTCCATTGGTCTTTCAAAAGTAAGCTTGAAAATGGCTTAAATAAAACATCCTGCTTTATAAATTACAATTAGGTCTGCAGGACAATTTCCAGTTCATACGCCACATTTGTTACACCCCTGATTCTTAATTTAATATTCCTCCGGACATTTTAGTTACGTCAAGTTTTGCTGAAAGGCTTAGTAACAGAGGAAGATGAGGTTTGTAGGTGAACTGAAAGACAAGACCATTTTAATTAATTAACACTCAATTAAGACGGTTTGTTACTCCCCTGTCTGGAGGCAGAAGCCTTCGCGTCAATACCTGGGTACTTCTCGAGGCTTAAAGTAAAAGACACTTAATAGGAGGGGAGGTGGGCCCTATTAAAAGCGAGGATGAAGGGGCCCAATGTTTCAGACAAAAGTGTCGTCAGTACAGGCTTATAACTCTCTTGAACGAATTATCATTCAAAAAATAGTTACACGTCGTTCAATCTGTAACCTACATTTTGAGCGGGCTCTCGTAGTGACCGACTTTTCATGAGGGAAATGAGAAATGCGAGTATATTTTTGGGGCGGAAACCTTGAGAAGAGAGTTCATTTCACGGGTTATAGACCTACGAGAACAACAGTCTATCAAACACAACTTATAAAAAAAAAATTTTTGAGGACTGCATTGGTTTGACTACTGCTTAAAACTCGATTGCAAGATTTCGTAAATACGAAATTCAAAAAATAATTTTTTTTTGGTGTGGGAGTGCAGATTTAATTCAACTGGTTCAAATCTGTATCCAGTTGCGGGATATTGTGATCACATCATCAAAACTGAACAGTTGAGCTACAACAAGCTTCTCAAGATAGCAGGACTCTGCTCCGTGATTTAACTAACAACTAAAAATGTTTTCCTTACAGTCCTATCAGTTGATAGGAACAAATTAAATAGCTATGATATCACCATTTTGATAATAACCCCATTTTTAAGTAATTTCCATGGGTACTGTGAGCTGACAATCTAGTCTTTGGAATGAGACTTACGCGGCTGTTCCGCTGAGAACCATCGCAGACACCTGCCTGACACAGCAGTCCATATAATTACAGAGTCATCAATATCAATATGATAACCTGATCCCTTCCAATTTTGACAATTTAAAACACTCATTCCCTGTCTCTCTCCACTTTGCATATGTTTACTCGTGAACTGAACGCACTGTCATTATATCAAGTCCTCCCCACTCTAAAACCCCTTCGCTCCAGTACTCTGAGTTAGGAGCTCCACCAATGAGGTTGAAACCATTTATATATACTCTCTGGGAGGGATCTTCTGGTATGCACGCCCCCTTCGAGATGCGCGAGCATTCTCCCCTCCCTCCTTCCCGATAGGATGGACCCGTAACAATTTAGCCATGGCGACGAGAGATGTTACAAAGTTTTAAGACGTAAGCGGAAATTGTCAAATGTAGTGTTGGTATTGACTGTGGTGTAGTGCGTTAAACCTAAATGTTGGTGACATCACGAAGTCGTGGATTTTTGTAATAAGGAGTAATTTTAATAAACCGAAGATAACTTAATTTCAATAATTATAATGTGAACTCAAGTCATTGGGGGAACTTCATTTAAAAAAATAAAACATATAATGTGGTGTTAAAAGGTGTTTTTTTTATCATCTCATATGTGTACGTTGAAAATCGATTCGTTCGATTACAAGCTCTGTATCGATTTATTGATTCTGAATCGCAATCCATGTGTTATGAATCAAGTATATCGATTTATCTCGTATTCTCGTAAATTCTATGGCGATAATATCTCTTCAAATATCGGACATTCCAGCAAAAGTTTTACACTAAATTATGTAAACAAATTAAGTTGAACTAATTCTTAATTTGAGAAAATTAATAGGCTATTAATTCTGAGAATATCACTTACGAATTAAACCAAAAGCGAATAAGCCTATCCTTAAAGTAAGAATTGTTAAGTGATAATAAAATTAAGTTTAAAGGCGACAACTTAATTTTGTTAACTGACAAACACATTCAAGAGTTAAGTGTTACTGCAGAGGTACACAGATTTGCTAACAGTGACGCAAATTGTGGGTTTGTGTTAATTTTCCAACGATGATGATACATAAGTGAGATAAAAGAATATAAAGAAATCCCCGTTTCCAGACGACAGTAACAATGAATCATCTTACAAACTGTTAACAAGTGACTGGAGAAAATCTTACGTAGGCCTGCGTAAACAATGAGGATAATCCATTTTATTGAGAAACAAACAGTCAATTTGTAAGTCTTTTTTTTTCTTCAAAAAATTTCGTGATCAGATGGAGCAACTGACTCAGTTCGTTTCAAAATCATTCGAACCTGGGCGTTGCGCGGGTAATCGCAGTGGTAGCAACGTGGACGAGACGGTCTCACAAGCAGCTCACCCCGAATGGGGCTCATCGGTCCCCTCAGTCGTGTCGTCGGGGCCACAGAAGAATCCGTCACCCGTGTCCCCCTGTCCCGACACGACCGGGGGTGAACCACTCCCGAGCCGGGGGTCTTCCGTCTCACCCATCGTGGATCCCGATGACTCCAGATCGTCGCCCGGAAGTAGCGGGAACCCACTGCTACTCAACTCACCCGGAACCGAACCTCGGAGCCCGGAACCTGGACCAGAGGATGGACCCGGAGTTTTAAACGCCGGAGGAAACAAAACCATGCTGATTGTCAGAGAGGAGAGCAAATCAGGTACGAAAATATCGAAGGTCATACACCAATTGAGATTTGTGTTTGATTAATCATAAAGTTTCTAAGCTTAAGAACAGAATTCTGGGCAGTTGGGCTCCGTTAACTTTATGTGATAGATTTCCTCCAAACTTCGAACCGAGGATTCCACTACTCAGCGGAGTTTAAGGCAAAAGATAGCTAAATTTGTCAATTTCTTGCAATTGAAAGTTTCTTTCTCAATATAGGCTACTTAATAGGCATATTTGGCCCATAGATGAGATCAGACGTCGATTCGCAGGTAATCTGAAAGTGCTGTATTACCTTAAAATAAAATATCTAGCAACGAATTAATTATAAAAGAGGTGTTGATAATTTTTGAGTTTCTATATTACGACACTTCCCAGCATCTCATTAATAGCGTCTTCAACAGCTCAAAGCCTGCAAGTCTCTCAAGGATTCTCACTGTAAACAGCGATTATTTCCTTAAACAGCGTTAACCAGACGATCCTTGTAATGGTGAGGTGTTGTGTTTTCTTCGCGGTACGGACTGAATTCTTAAATATTATTTAGACGAGCTTCGGGTTCAAATAGTTAAAATACTACATAATAAATAACCACTGTGCTTAGATCCTACATAAGAGGCCCTTTCTCAAGAACGTGATTTACGAATATCAGCTCATTAGTGTTTATAAGAGTAACCAAAGCCTATTCGTGTTCAGAACTGAATCAGAACAGGCTACAACCGCGGGAAGACAGTTTTCTGAGGATCTGGAAAGGAGGATTTCCGTTCACGAGGTCGCTGAAAAGATCGAAATAAACTCCACGCTTTCCCAGTGCAGCGCTTAACAAAATACTTCTGCGTCCTTTGGTTTTGTTAGAGGAGGCCATGAATGTCGTGGCCTTCTGGGTGTTTGGTGTAGCGATGTTATTTATTAACGAGTACAGCTCATGGTTATTTGTCTCCTGGCACCCGAGAAAGTTTCCAGGGGCAGTCTTCAAGCGTAAGAAACTGGACATCGACCATCGCATATCAGAATCTGATTTCGATATCAGAGTTGAACTTAGGAAAATACAACGTAGGAATATTCTAGAAAAACAGAACATACGGCAAAGACTGTGAATGAAAGTTAATAATTACATTTAAGACGCGTATATCAGGTCGAAAGTAACAGGTTTTTGAAATACCTAGCCCATTAAGCTAACAAACATAAAAACAAATAGAATAATTCAAGGTTAATCTTACTTACATCTGCTATTCTGTTTAATATAAAACAATAGCGGAAGAAATTTGGATAAATATTAATTTTGAAGGAATACTGAGGCTTTAAATATTTTCAAAAATGTTTGAAAAATATTTCTAAGGATCAATTTTTACAAAAATTACAAGTTGGAATCTGGAAGTGAACGTCACTATTAACTGATAAACAAGTATAAAAAAGTTGCATTATAAGAAATTACTATTAAGTTTTAAGTTTATATAATTTTAATTTTTATACACCTGAAGGTGGTTCATTTAAGAACCGAAACATGTCGTAAGAAAAAGATGTTCTAACTGTAAATCGAATGTTTCGATAAGGAACATCACATGATATTTTAATTATCTTAATTTTAAATTTTAAATTGTGAATAGACAAGTCGCGAAAAATCCACGTCCTAGCCACAAACCCGGCGGCCGTCCACTGGAAATTATTTGAAAACTTTCATTTCCTCTTATATGAGCTCTATTCTGTCGAAAACTGATTAAGAATCAATGCTACGTATGAACCTGATTGCCGTGTCTTGCGTGGGGTCCGATATGCCGCGACTGTACCGAAATGACAGCATCAGAGTAATCCAATTCGGATGAGAGGGTCCGCGGTGTTCATGCATTAGATACGGATTTCCATGTTGTCACCGCGTCTGGCACAAGGGGGTGGGGCGTGGGGGTTCATGCCGTATGCTGCATATACGCATGCATGGTCTCCTCTCTGCTGCTCGCTTTGTACATATGTATAAACCGAACAACGTACACACGGTTCATTAGATTCTACAAACTGAAGCCCTCACCCTCCTGCACGATGAAACACGACGTAGAGAAATTCCCCAGCGGATTCATCTCCATAAGCATACATGTGACGTGCTAATACTGTCAGCCAATCAGGTTAACTTTATAAACCGACAAACGTATACCAGATGTTTGCGTTTTGTTACGACATGCGAGAGAGAAAAAAAGAAGAAGAATAATAACGCGAAAGAGATTTTTATGCAGCATATAATATTACAGGTAGCTCACACTAAACAGAATATGAAATGACGCTTACAAAAGCAAGCTGCTTTAATTTCTCAGTTGTTTTGATATTCTTAGTTACAGGGGAACGAAACTTTTAACTTAATTTTATTTTTTATTGCGTTAAAATCATCGTTAGAATAGCAATGTAACAAAATAGAACAACAAAAGAATTATAAAATATGCCGGGACAAGCTAGCAGCCTATAGAAATAATTATAGCCAAAAGACAAAACTGAGATGACGTAGACGGCAAGGATAATATTAAAACGCAAATTAAACAGGATGTTCGCTTGGGATGAGGTCTACTTGCGGACTCACATAAATACAACGTCTTATTTTTTATTTATTTAGTGTTCTGTCTGACGCCAGGTCCATATGAACAGGATCCTTCCATCATTTTCTCGGTCTGGGACCTGTTCATATACGTTCTTGGCAGATGATCCAGAAGTGGTTTGCCATTGCCTTCTTCTGTGTGTGAATGGAGTAATTGTTGGGATGCCACGGAGGAAAACTCCGTGTTGCTTAGACCACGGCCTTGCCCAACACAAAATAAACCCGTTTGAAATTCACAACTTTCTTTCTCCTTCATTGCGTAAAATATAGAAACCGTCTTAATAATTACGTGATTAGCGCGTCTTCTTAAAATACCTTCGACTGTTTTACTTCTAATTTTAAGCGGTAGGGCCTACAATTATATTTGGTTCTTCGTTTTTCTTCGTGACAACCTCAAGTCGTCAGAACCTCGGCTTTAATAGCTCAGAGTTGAGAAATTAAAGATCAGGTCATTCTACGTTCTCTGTTTAAGGATATATTTTCCGAAAATTTATTTTAAATATTCTTATTTATCAATAAATGGATCTACAATTATTTCCACTGAAACCCAAGGCCTCCTCACATTTTTGTATTAATTAACAGCTATAACGAGATCTATATCGCACGTTCGTTAACAATTTCCCTCCAACAGTGACAACGTTTAGTGAGTTGTAATAACAACTATTTAAGCTTAAACATTAAACTTACTTCTAACATATTATGCAGGATTATTAAAGTTATAAATAAACGCTTAGGATATGTGCATATACGCCTTGCCTTCAATTTTCAGTAAAAACTTTACCACATTTACAACTTAGCTAAGAATATATATTACAGCTATTCGTGAGAGGTCACCCAAGAATTTACTGTAAGCGAGCAATTTTACTATATCAGATATCTGTGCCAGTAATTATTTGGCTCATAGCCGAGAAAGGGGGTCCTTTATATCCCTAGAAGGATTAATTCGGTTGAAATATACAAATTATTATATATCTACTTTGAACAGACCATCAACAAATTGTACTATTGGTGAATACGGATAACTGTACGTTTAGGCAAGGGTGTGTTTAATCAGTGGACCCAAAACTGATGGTTACCATCACGCAATATCATATTTAAGAAATTTATAATTATTTTTTTTTAAATTAAATTTACGATTTAGTGAGTATGTTGAAGCTCCCAAAAAGATACGAGGTTAATCTTCGGCCCCCTGAGTTTCACTGTTTTAACATTTATCGTAAGGGAACAAGAGATTCAAATCCCCGCATAACGACCGGTTGATTGGCAAAGCTCGTGCGACGGCCTGAGAGTTATATCACGCGTAACCCGCAGTATAAGTCAAGGATTCGAAATAAAATCAATAAATCAGATATTACATGTTTAAGATCCGAGATGTCCGATTTCTCCGGTAAGGGATGCTAAAAAAAATGTTCTTAATCCCACCTGTCCACCCCTCACCAAAGATTTACTTTTTTTTTTAAATCAATTCAGTTAAAAAGATAATAAGATATTGTAGGTGCGTCATATTGTGATTTTATTTAAAATAGTATTAAAATATATTAAAAATTATTATCTTTTGTTCCGTATCGAGTACTCGATACGGAACAAAAGATAATAATTTTTAATATATTTTAATACTATTTTAAAAAGATAATATTAAAAAAAGTTAAAATACGTGATTTGAACTCGATCAGGATATCGACGAAGAATGTCATATGTGAGTTTCGCGTGAGCTTCTGTACCATCGACTATCGACTATCGACTTTTCTCGTGACGAAGCGATTATTTAGATTATCGCACAGTATTTTCCTAACCTCTGACCTAGACGCGCCATGTTGGATCGTTCAGATTGAGAGCAGGCTTTGGAGTCAGCGGTGTGAGGAAAAGACGAAGCTCTGATGCGCTAACACCGCTCCTGAGGAATAAAGCCTCTACCCGAGTCTATTTTGTATCTTCATTAACGTAATGGAATTAAATTAATCTGGGATTCATACCAAGACCAAGAAGGATACAGCCTTCCCCCCACCTTCACCCTATTTCTCCATTACATTACGTTAAATACGGGTGATGTCGGGTCTAATACCTCCCTAAGGGGCCCTTCTATCCCCAAACTCACTGCAACCTTCAGAGTCCGCGTTTACGTTTTATGTATTTTTTATACTCTCCCTGGCGGAGAGAAGCGCACTTCACTTCATTAATTAATTGCGTTTTCTTAACTCGAGATAGCGCCACAGTATCGGGGTATGAAGCACCCCCAGCCATAGGATGAGATGGAGTCTGTTATCACATTCAAATTTGCATGACGAAGCTTTAGTGAACTCCATTACACAGACGTATGAAGAGAATAACACATTTACATCTCAAATTAGTCGATAGAATAATCGATATTACTTACAATCTGATTTCTCACATTGTTTATAGTATGGCACAGGGCTACTTAAAAGACAGGTAAAAATGATCGTGCAACGATGGCCCTTAGAGAACGTTGTGACTACTGAAACAATGACATTTTAAAATTATTTCATGTTTTTAACTGTATACTTGTGTCGATGGTAAAACTTGGTGTGGTATTTTTACAACAGCAAGTGTCCTGAAATTTTTTTATTTTTATTTTTAGTGTTCTGTCTGACGACAGGTCCATATGACCAGGATCCTTCCATCCTTTTCTCGGACTGGGACCTGTTCATATAAGTTCTTGGCAGATGATCGAGAAGTGGTTTGCCATTGCCTTCTTCTGTGTGTGAATGGGGTAATTGTTGGGATGCCACGGAGGAAAACTCCGTGTTGCCTAGACCACGGCCTTGCCCAACACAAGTTATAAATTCGGGCACCGCCGGGAATCGAACCCGAGACCCCAGGATTACAAGACCAGCGTTCTAACCGCTAGACTAGTAAAGGCCTAATAATGCGAGCATTCCTTTTTGTCTTATTGCTGACGAATTTAGAACCTTTTAAAATACACTTTTAATTATTTCATCATTACCACACTACGTCAGGAGAACACTGTTTATATAAAATAACGTCCATTTTGTTTCACAATGTTTCATTAATGATTCAAACTCCTACCAGGCCAATTAGCAACAAACTCGAAGATGTTAGGCTCGTACAGACATAAAATCTTGTATCGTGCCTTGTGTAAAGAATAATTTATTTACGTTCGACCGATATGTGCGATGAGAATTCAGCGTTACCAAATAAAACAGTTTAAAGTTTTAATTAATCAGTAATTAAATACAAAACATTTGTGAAGTTTCTGTAAACTAATTTTAAGGCTTCATTCATTTACTGGATCCATACTTTAAGGGGGGGGAATAAAAGAGATGAAAATAACCATCAAAAACTTTTCATATTAAATGATTTTTAATAAAGTTTAAAACACGAAACTCCTACCGTCTTTTCAATTAGGTCCGCAGTCCCGCATTACACTACATCCACTGCGAAGGAGATTTTGCGAATAAAACCGAAAACGAGAACTACGATTGAAATAAAAAAAAATATTCTCCCCCTTTTTTTTCCCACTGTAACATTTTCACATAAAAAGACCCCGAGTCTAAAAAAATCTCGTTACATTGGTGGAGAAAAATCTCATTACAAAAGGACGATTGTGTGGGGCC